GCATCTTCTGGGATAGCCGCAGGTTCGGCCACAGCAGGTGCTGCGTCTTCCTTGACGTCGGCCGTCTCAGCCGGGGAGGATTCTTCGCTTTCAGCTGCTTCAGCTGGAGCATCAGGTGTCTCAGTCGGAACCTTTGCAGGCTCGGGTGCGTCAGCCGGAGCATCAGGTACTGGTGCTTCCTCTGAGGCAGCGGGAACTGGTTCAGCTTCTTCGGGCTTCACAGCATCATCCGCGGGAGCATCTGCCCCGACGACTGCGGCTTCGGCTGCATCCTCCACAACTGGCGTCTCAGCCGCAGCTTCAACCGGGACCTCTTCTGATGACACTGCTTCTTCAGCTGCCGGAGTTTCGGCGGCCACTTCAGCCGGAGCATCAGCGACATCAATCTCAGCCGGTCCAGGCTCGGCTGTTTCAGCCTCTTTAGCGACCTCAGAAGGAACTGAAGATTCCTCCGTTTCAGCACTGGCCTCCGTCGAAGTAGTTGCCTCCGTCGATGCTTCTTCCGGCATTGGCTCCTCGGAGGTCGTTTCTTCCACTGCCTCAACCGAAGGCTCGGCTGAGGGCTCAGCTGGAGCTGGTTCATCAGATGCTTCGCCGGCAACGGGTTCGGCAGCCGGTTCTTCGGAAAAAGGAGCATCCTCCGTCTTGGCCTCGGAAGTTTCTTCGGCCGCAGGGGCAGCAGGAGCAGGGGACTCCTCAGGCGAAGCCTCTACATGTGCCTCCTCGGGGGCGGGGTCCTCAGGCTTGACATCGGCAGCAGCAGGTTCTTCCGCAGGCGCGGGTTCTTCAGCTGTGGTGTCAACAGGGGCATCAATCGGAGCATCAATCGGAGCATCGGCAGGAGCATCGGTAGCAGGCCCATCAGCAGCGGCAGCGTCATCCGGCTGAGCCTCCTCTGCGACGTCTGCCGCAGGCTCGGCGTCAACGGAAGCTTCGGCCGCAGGCTCCGCAGGGGCAGCATCCTCTGGTTTTGGCTCTTCGGAAGTCTCGGTGACGGGCTCATCCGCAGGAGCAGCGTCCTTCGGCTTATCTTCAGCTGAAGTCTCAGTAACTGGCTCTTCAGCAGCTGCAGTCTCTTCCGGAGCTGGCGCAGAATCGTCAGGTTTTAACTCGACAGGGGCCTCATCAGCTGCTTTCTCCTCGACGGGAGCAGCGTCTCCCGACTCAGCTTCGACTGTGGCATCAGCCGCAGCATCCGCAACAGGTGCAGCCTCTTCCGATACAGGCTCAGCTGAAGGTTCACTGGCGGGCTCCTCTGCTGGTGCAACAGTCTCAGGCTCTGCATCGGCGGGCGCGTTAGGGGTCGACTCTGAGACTGTGGACTCCTCGGGCTTGACTTCATCGGTAACAGGTGCAGCATCCTCTAGTGTAGGTGCGGACTCTTCGGACTTTTCCTCTGCCGGTGTCTCTGCGGTTGTTTCGGGGACTGCATCAGCAGGTGCATCGGCAGGAGTTGCGTCTCCAGGCTTGCTGTCCGCTTCCTTGTCAGCTTCGGCTTCAGCCTGTGCCTCAGAAGCCTCGGGAACAGCTTCGGCAGGTGGTGTGTCCTCGGTCTGAGGTTCCGCTGCAATAGGCTCTGCTTGAACTGTTGTGGGCTCTTCAGTTGCAACCTCCTCAGTGGAAGCTTCAGGTGTAGCCTCTATTGCCTCGGGGGCCACTTCTGCTGGTGCATCGGCTGCGTTGTCTTGGCTGTCTTCTGTTGCAGCTTCAACAGAAGCTTCAACAGGAGCTTCGGCGGGAGCTGGATCTACAACAGCCGACTCCGTTGCCTCTGCAATGGCCTCAGCAGCGTCTGGCGATCTTTCCGTCGCTACCGTGTCATCGACTTTGGCGTCATCCAGGCTTCGGTTAGCAGCCGGCTCAAGTTCAGCTTCGACGGCCGGCGGCTCCTCCTTCGCCTCAATGATGGTCTCCGGAGGCGGAGCTGGAGCATCCTCCATCTTTGGCGGTTTGGCGTCCTCTACCGGGGGTGGCGGCGGCGGAGGGGGGATCGATCTTGAGCTCTCGACCGGCTCTGGTTCGGCGTCTTTTCCGCCCTTGCCCTTCTTTTTCTTCTTCTTTTCTTTCTTCTTGTCCTTTTCCTTGTCCTTTTTGGAAGATTCCTTCGTCTTCGTCGGAGACACGGGTGCCTCCTCTGCAACGATCTGTTTCTCTTTTATCGGTTCAGGCGTAGGCTCGGGCTCGGGCTCAGGGTCAAGCTCGGGTTCAAGCTCAGGTTCCGGTTCGGGCTCGGCTTCTACGGGTGGCGGAGGCGGAGGTGGCGGAGGTGCAGCAATTTCCTCCTTTTTGCCCTTCTTCTTCTTCTTCTTGTCCTTTTTTGAGGATTGTGTCGGCCACTCGTCTTCGGCTATGCCGTTGTCTTGAGGCGGTCCAGGCGTGGGAAGCTCAGGGGCGACAGCCGATGGCTCTTCATAGGTGTACTGTGCTGCCTTCTTGTCCTTCTTTGCCTTCTTCTTGCTCTTTTTACTGCTGCTGCTGGCTTGTGCAGGTTGTGAAGGATACGTCACGCCATTGGCATATACGTCGCCGTCTGTAAGATGAAGGGGTTAGGCGTGCTAATGCAATACTCAAAGCGCAATCTAAAGTGACTTACCATTTTCCAGCTCTGAATCTGAAGGTTGGAAATACTGGATGTTGGAGAAATCTTGGGTTTGGACATGGTTCCAATCAAGGTTCTGCCGGTAGGGGCAGAAATCGACTGGTTCTTCCGAATTCATGCTTCCAGGACTCGTGGATTATGGGGGTCCTTGTTTCGCAAAAGTTGATCAATGCTGATCCGGGGAGATGGTCTGATGTTGTCTTTGGCGCACGTGGACGGCTGTCGTTGGCGAGAGATGAGATTGGGGGTTCTTTTCTTGACAAGTTCTCAATTTTCTTGTGATAGTGCGGTGCCCAAGCCGGAGTAAGAAGTTCGAGTCTCTTGGGCTGGTATCGCGAGACTCAAAAGGATGTATTGTGAGGTATCTTGTCGCCTGTGAGACCGTGTTGTGGTGTAAACAACAGACAAAAGTGCAATGGGCAGTTATGACAAGGAAGCAACAGGTTTCTTGTCTCGGCTTGACACTGGATAGAGTTGAGAAATAAGGGACCAAGAGTGACGAGATGCGTCCCGACTACGACCATCCCAGGAGGACACAATTGGGCTAAACTGTGGGAAGAAAAGTAGATTCTCGAGAAGCAGGGGGGAGCTTTCCTAGCAGTGCCAAACATCACAAGCATCACTGGTCTGTAGCAGGGTTCAAGGTGCGGGAGTAAGGGGTCCCTGACACAGGCCTACCCCACGCTGTCCCCACGAATGGAGACAAATTGTGGCAGTCTCAGAGTCCAAGTGATCACTGTCGTGCGTGCTTGAGGGCCATTGGCTCAAGTGAGGCGGAACAAGCACTGGCGCCACGTCGCAATTGGGTTGGACTGGGGAGTGCGGTTTCTGGGTTTTGGGAGCTTGAGTGATGTGATAAATGATGTGACATGAGGCGAGGCAGAGGAACAGAATTGGACCTGGGACATCAGACGGACAAGGAGACAAGGAGGAGGGTTGATGGCTGCCCAACGACGATGCGATTGGAAGCGAGCGACCAGCCCGCATAATGAGACGGGCTCAACCAGGCCGGGCATGAACGTCGGTGATTTTTTCCCGGGATATGTGGTTTACTTTTTGTGGTCTTGTCCCTTTTCGTAGTCTCATAGGGCCGTACCTAAGTCTCAAGATGACATACCGCTACCGCCGTACCGTCGAAGTCCATTGATTCTATCGGATGAGTATTGTCGCTTGACTTTTATCTATAGAAGCCAACATCATTGCGGATGCCATGGGGGAAAGAAGCCTACGGGTCAGTCTTTGCGGTGAGGCATTGGAATAGACCGAGAGACCACAAAACAACAAGGCGCAGCGCCTGTCCACCAATGATCTTCATAAAGCGACGATGGATGGATAGTACTGAGGAGGTCAAATGTATTCGTACTTGGCCTGAAAAGGGCTCGAAAGGGCTTAGGCTCCCCAAGACTCTTCTGAGGACGAGGGAATTTTTTGGGTTCAATGAAGTGTCAATTGTCAAGCATCCCTCCACTCAGCGGCTATGAGCTAATAATTGCTGTGCTGCGCTGGTCGTCGATTTCCGGCCCAGTGCACTCGCACGCATCGGGCGGCCGGAGCAGGGTAGGTCGATGGGCCGGTCCACTAGGGCCAGGCATATCCTTGTATGCACAGGTACTCATCGCGCCTGGCGAGACATAAGGAAACGATTGCCGACGGAAAGGTGGTTCCTGGAACATAGTGGAGGGTAAGCCCAACCTTCTTCCCGTCATTCATGATATTCGAAGAGACTGAGGCTGGGCAAGGGAGAAGCCGCGGTCTGGCTAGAAGTAGTTAGAAGGCGTCGAGAGGCCGTTATGATTGTGCACATGGCCACTCGCTGACCGGCACTTTCCTTCGATAGACGCTCACCGGCGGCTGGCATGTCAATGGTGGGGGTTGGAGTAGAGCGCGGTTTGTTTCTCATCGGCCATTAAACCCCCGGTCAGCGAGGTGCAACGTGGCTCGCCTGGGTGAGGCTCGTCTGTGAAGATCCATGCAGTAGAGGCCCGGACCACGGCTGGCGGGAGGGGCGGATGTGACTGCAGTGACAGTGACAGTAGCACCAGCAGAAGAGTGGTGGATTTGGATTGGGCGACGGCTTGCAACGGGCTGTTTTCTTCGGCTGTCTGCGAGGAAGTAAGGAGCAACGTCGGCGTGCAAATGCGAGGAATACAATGCCGCGATGACCATGTCATGTCAGCAAAGCGTCTTCCGTGGAACCACTTGCTGTGCCATCTAATGTAACCGCCGAATGGAGTGTTCGGGCGAAAATTTTGGTGAGAGGGAGTTGGTAAGGTGGGCGGAGGTTGGGCCGACGTCGATATGGGATGGGACGGGATGGCATGGCTCCTCCCGAGGTCAGTGTCTGAGAGGTGCAGTAGCCCAGTCTAGCCCGAGGAGATGCGTACATAGGTTGTGTGCCGCAATGATGGCGTCGGTGCGATTGGTGCCCTGCAAGAACCCGACTTGGTCCGACTACATGCCACTGGGCATAAGAGAAAGAATCAATGGGGCCGTACACGAGTCGGCGGTTGGGCGCTGGGAGGGCGGCAGGCAGCATGGCTGGTGGTATTGGGCGGACCTGAGGACCGATGATCGAAGACTGGTGACCGATGGAAAGAATGGGTTGGCAGCATCTGGGCTGGGGAAGCATCGAGGTTGCGAGGGAAGCCATCGCGATTCCGAGGCTGATACGTATACTGATATTACCAGGAAGGTCAAGTAATCGTCGGGTACATGGTCGTGAATTGAACCAGCTGTTGATCGGTGTCGTGGACTGTCACAACGGGCGCTCAATTGCGGTGGATAAGGCTCATCGTCGATTGTTTTGTTGTTTATGCGAAAGAAGACCCATCCATGAAAATGTTTGCAGGAGGCGGAAGAGGGAAGACCAAGGGAAGAAATTGAGTTGGCAGTCCTGACTCCTGACCCGAGCTTTTGCCAGGAAGATGGTTTCACTTTCTTCGGTAAGGAAGCATTGGTCGCCGTCACGTCACAGCCAGCGTGTTGGGAATGACGTTGCTACACTACCTTAATAAGAGTCACTAACGTGCCTGCTCTCACCGCTGGGAATTTCGGTGTAGCATGTGGCAGGCGCCAACACCTGCAACTTTACAGTGCCTGCCCTGGCCATTGATACCTCACGAGCCCACTTAGGTAAGCCCCAGCACCCTGGTAGAACCCGAACAACCAACGACCGGCCTTGAGGCCTGACTCTTTGAGTTGGCGCATTCCAAGGTTTGGCTCTCAGAAAAAGTTGTGAAGCCTGTCCATAGGTGCTCAAATAAGCCGCGTATGTGGGACTCGATAAGAAGCATGTATCGGTGTCCCCGTCACAGCCCAATATTGTAGGCAAATTCGCCATGACGGTGATGGAAAATACTTTCAAAGCATCTCGAAAAAAATCCACTCTTCCGGCCCTCTATATTCTCATTGTGCTGGGCCTTCGAAGGCTCTCCTGACAGCCCAACCGCCCTAAATTTCTGGTACTTCCATCCGCAAGACACCGCAGAAAACTCCGGTGCCCGTTGACCGAGCTTGCATTGATCGTGTAAGAAAGCCTCATTTGACCTCTTACGATGACCCAGCCCACATCGTGATCACAATGATAAGGTCCCGGGTTCACATCAAAGATCCTGTCCATAAGTCCATAGAATTACATGAGTCGGAAAGAGGCAGCCGAGTGCCCCGCAGAATCGACACCCGCCACCTACCTCAACACAGCAGGTCCGTAACAGTGCCACGGAGGGCAGAGTGATCGTGGGCCACCAGTACTCCGGCTCGCGATCGGTCACTCCTGACGACTGGCGGTGTGCCGAGACACGTGAGGAATGGCTCCTGTCCCGGTCCCGGTCCGGTGGGGACCTCTTTGAGACAGCGAACTTGGCACTGCCGGTGGGCCGGCGACAGCATGTCTCGCCCGCTTCTCGCCCGTTTGCTCACCGAACTACACATCGCTCCAACGCGGCAGCGCTTCCGATGCATTAGTCCCCACGTATCTTGTCTTGTCCGGCAAGGGAAAAGGCGCCAGTGCTGCAATAGCTTCTCAACAACAATCAATATGTCTTCTATGAAAAAAGTGAGGTGTGCGTAGTACTCGTAGACTGTAAAAAGTGCCACTCCAGCAAACCAGAAAAGCTTGTCAAACTCCCTCCCATCAGCTTCCGCAACCGCGAGATTCCTATCGAATGGCACCCACGTAACCCAAAACGCCAACGCCAGTAGACAGGTCTGAGAAAGAGGGGCAGGTAGCTGAGAAACATGTGAAAGAGGACCGCTTCGGAGTCGTATCCGTTGTTGGTAGTGAGCATGTTCGTGTATATCGAGTGTGTCGTACGGTATCCACTTCTCTGGGCAGCTGTGATGTTCGACCTGCTTATCCCATCGCGCCGCAATTCTCATGCAAAGCCTCTAGAAGCTCCATCCCGAACCAGGAATGCTATGCCATCGTTCTCGGCCATCCCCACAGGATCGCCTCACACCTGACTCCTTTACATGGCCATCTCCGCCTGCAGCTTGCGGAGCTCGGCCTCTTCGTCGTCCTCTTCGACAGCTTGCGCCTTGCCTTTGACTGAATTATCACGTCAGTACATCACTCTTATCATGATCTCAGAACGTGGGATCTCCTTACTTGGTCCGTTCGCGGCGGCAGGCATCTGGTGAACGCGGTCTGACACAGGCACAGTGCCAGTGCCCACCATTTGCTCGTCCAAAGCCTCCTGCTGCATTTGATCCAGCTCATCCTCCAGGTCCTCGTCGATAATGTTATCGGTCTGGCCCGTTGTGATAGCGTTGACAATTTCCTCGCTAAGCGCATTTTGTTCGCGGAGATCCTCCCTGTTCTCGTAGTCAGCATTTGTCTTTCGCACTGGCTTACAACCTTCGAAACGTACATTGTTTGGTCCACCTTGTCCACGGTGAGCTTGCCGTGAATACCCTTCATGGCCTGGCCAGCCTTCTCCATCGCCAACAGCGTCTCGCGGTTGATATTCGCCGACTCGATAGCGTTGATTTGGGACTCGAGTGTCGTGATTTGCGAAATAGTCTGTTCGAGGCTGTGTTCGTGGCCCTTCTTGCGACGCAAGGCAGCCTTTGCGGCTATTACGATATCCCGTCAGCATCTAGTCTCCCCACAGTCTCGATTGCTCAGATAAGTTACCGTTCTTGTTTGTGTTGACGTTCTTCCTCGCAATAGTATCTTGTTCGTCCATCAACGTTTGAAGATGCTTCTCTCTCTTTTGCAGCATATCAAGCTGGACCCTAAGGCCGAGGATTGCATCTTTGGCATCGTTCTTCTTCTTGGCGCCACCACCACCGCCAAACCAGCCCCAGACGCCAGACATGATCAGAGGTGTTGAAGTTTCGGGTTTGCTAGTATTAATCGAGTAAATCGAATGGATTCCGGTCGTTTATGAGGTTGTGCGCAGGCAGCGATCGTTTGAAGGCAGCCGTATTCCGGGGTTGCGTGGCACTCGACCGAAGTTTGATGGCGGGGTACCGAAACGGGAAACAAGCGGGCACTCGTCGTCGTCAACGAGCTGCAAATTTAGCGAAGGCCTACTGATAGGCGGAGTTGCCAGTAATTTCTAAATCACGCGACGAACACCCGCGGCTCGCTCAAGTCAAGTTGTCGCCAAGTTGATAGTTGGAAGGCTGATAGATAGAGTCAGATAGGTAGTCGGTAGGTAGGTATGATGCAAGCTCCCGACTGGCTCAGCGACGCCGTTTAGTGGGCAAGCGATGACGGCGGTTGTGCCCAGCAACAGCGCTGCCGCCTGATTTAGCCGCGGTTCAGCCGATCATGTGAGACGCCCGCGTGACAGGCCACCTTGGTGGTGACTTCCAAGGTTGATCCAGATAAGACATATCTTATCACCGATAAGTACCTTACCTAAGGTACCTAGAGTGCACGCGGCCCAGTGACCAAAGTTGCAGCCGCCAGCAGCTGTCGCCATTCACCGTTCCCTTCCGCCTCAGTGAGTAATTCGTACCTACCTTTATATCGTATAGGAAGGTAGCCGGGGAAACTACAAAGTTGATTTCACGCACAACGTCCTTCAGACATACACTACCCGGCAGCCTCAGATGATCGTTGTCTAAATCACTTCATCCACAACCTGACTGGAACTTACCTTCGACTTGGCCAAGCAGTGATGCATATTGTTCGAGGCCTGAGCAACTAACAATCACCTAAGCCATGTCTAGAGGCCCGCTGCCTTCTCAGCTTTGTCTCTTGTCAGACTTGCCGGCTCGACCACAGGGCGATAAGGTCAGATTTCTCGGGTGGTAAGTTTTGATATTTTTCGCCCACTTCTGACTTTGATCGATGATTCGCTCTCGTCCTATGTCAAAAGTCGTCCGTTGGTAACCATACTAATTGCCATCAGTGTAACTGCGTACTCGACGCAATCAGCTGTGCTCACGCTAGAGCATAGGTTCCCCAAAGGATCCGATATCAGTGTATTGGTTGACATTCAACTCTTACTCAGTACCATGACTTCAAACCAGACACGCATCGGCGAGTGGGTAAATGTGGTTGGCTATCTCACGCCCGCTCCCCCGGGAACGCGGGCCAAAGGGACGACCCGTGAACCACGTATAGCCGCCGTCCAGGCAATCATGCTCTGGCCCGCTGGCCCTCTCAACCTTCAGCGATACGAAGCTTCCTTCGCAACAACTTGAAGTAGAGTCTAGATGAATCCATGCCACCCGTTGGGGAAGACGAGGCACACCATCTACTACCATAAGCTGCCGCCTGACCTGAGAGGAAGCGGACATTGGCTTCGGTAACAATGTAGGCAGACGTGTCATGCTCACTACCGCACCCAGGCTCCCGTGTCTCGTCCAATTCGTCACGCATGCCACGAACCAACAGGTATGGATAAGAGATCTTACAATGGGACTGAAGATGGGCTTTTCTTTCAGCATTCGCGACCGAGCACGGTCCGATCATCATGTCAGCCACGCCATCCTGTCAAAGGTTTCCATTGAACAAACATTCTCGGCCCGCATGAATGTGCTACTAGCTCACAGCGACGATTTGGTCCGGTATAAATGCACCTTGTCTATTCTGGAAGGCAAGCACACGCCAATTAGGTATCTGGTTGAGGAAACGCGTGCTCATGGCATCCGCTGGCGCTGCACTCTGATGCGCGCCTCTTGCAACAATTCCGCATACACATACCAAAAAGGAGCAGCGCGTAAAGAACCTCGGAGATTTTGCTGTTACCATTGGACCCCCCCAAAAAAATGCCAGATGGCAGACTGCTGCTGGGTGATTTCGGGACACATACTCTTCTCGTCCCAATCAAACAAAAATCTGGTTATAATACTGCTTCGTTTCGCCTGACGCCCATCCAGTCAAAAGAACGAGTGTTTGGTCGGGTCCACCGTTTGCTGCGGCCACCAGGCCACACAACTCGACCCCCCTCACAAGAGACGCGACCTTTTGCGCATGCCTCGAATCATCGAATCCCACAAATTCCTTCCGTATGCATGAAAGGGCTAACCCGACCGCCTGCAACGCCTTAATATTCAAATGCCTAGATCCAAAGACCTGGCCCAATGCGAGATCTCATTCACCACAGTCGACTCCACCGATCCACCCGACTTCACTCCCGCCGCCTGTCGTCGTAACGTCGATGTCGCTCGTGGCTTCGGTGTGCGTCATGTCTCCTTTTTGACGAGTCGTTTGACCCTCGGGATATCACCACCGGCTGATGCAACGGTCTTTTGAGGGGCTTGTCTGCTTCTTGGGCTCTAATGGCCGCCTGGCGCTCCCATACTTCTTTGGACTTCCTACAGATATCGTCGATCTGCTCCTATATGCAGAGACGATGATCAGCAAATTCTGCACCGCTGAAGAACAAAAGATGGGGGAAAGAACCAAGCGGCAAGCTCACATCTGTCAAGCAAGGGCCTGGAGTGGTGATGAGGAATCCATCTTCTCCCTGTAGGTGCTGTGAGAGGCGTCTCAGTCATCGTGAATGAGATATTCACACCTCATTTGTGTACGGCCTGACCGTTGCATCTGGCCCGAGATAATAGGGAAGCTCTTGAGTGATGATCTTCTTGTGAATATCCAACCGGGGAATCCAGTATCTGTTCATCTCTGTTGACGAAGGCATGGCAGATGTTTGGGCATGGAAAATATGAGCTGTCTGCCTGAGCGCATTGAACGAGCAAGATGGCGCAAGTCATCGTGAAATATTGGCGATCAGGAGGAAGAACAAGGTATTTATCTTCGCCAACAATACGATGATTCGGGGTGCCAATCCTCGTACGCTGCAACGGAGTCGATATTACGAGTTCCCCAGGCATGTTATTGCACCAAGCAAGACAAAAGGAGCACTTTGTCTTGCCTTTTCGGCACAGCTCTTGTCGGTATCCTCACCGCTCCGGCTTCTCAGTCGTCAGAACCTGCCTCTACAAGGCCTGCATGCAAGGACAGACGCCACATACGGCCTTTGCAATGTCGGTTCTCACCAGGGTGGGAACCCATCCATCTGGGTGTGTTCCACCTTACAGGTTGGGGGTGGTGAGCCTGCAGGAGATAGGCAAAGTGAGGCGGACGGCGGCAACCCCATGACGGTTCGCCTCACACGTCCGCAATAATCCCGCCACCTGCAACCACGAATCACCGTCGGAAGTCGCTATATGCGTCGGAACGACCTTAATCGAGTCTTTTGATTCTCTCTCTACTGCACGCCCTTTTTCGAATGGAGTTTCTGTTGGCCATCATTCGCCAGTCACTTCTCGACTATGGATCAATTCGCTGCGAGATCCAGTGACGGGACTAGGCTGCAGTTTCTGCAGGTCCATCTCATCGCCATCTTCGTTTCCGGACATGCTGGAATGGGACCTACCCTCGTGGCTTCCTGGCAAATTCAGCTTCCTCCATGGATGAACCCTGGTGGGTAAGGTAAGGCGTCGGTGATTTCTAGCAGCCAAGCGGTGCAGATCATGTCGATCGCCGCTCGCGACTTCGAGGCGAGCATGCGGGGATGGCGAGTGTCTGCCAGTCATTGCTGACCAGGGTTTCTTATATATCTAGGATCTCGAGTTCTTCAACGATCCAGATGAACCCTGGACCCTTCCCTTTTCTGTTGGTCCCGGATTTTTGGAACACAAGGCTGCTGCGATCGTCGCCGTCAACACCAGATTCGTCGGCGCTGAAACTGCCGGTGAACAGTAATCATAAACAAGTCATCATTTCGACAATACAGCCTTCAAGTTGCTGTAAAGCTGTGTGCACGATGATTTTCCAATCGAATCACACAGCTTCCGACCGTACCGATCGTAACACTATCCAGCATTATCGGTATAAAAAATGCGTCAACGGGGAACTAGAGAGCCCTTCCAGTACTTGACAGCCGAATACGAGGCTTTCCGGCCGGGCATGGCATAAGCCCGAAGATCGTTATAAGTCGTCTCCCTGCCCAGGATGGTCGATCTCTGAATCCTACGAAGAGGGGTTGGCCATCAGCCGTAGTGCCAGACGACTCTCTAGATCAACATGCCCGAGCCTGGCGACAAGGCGAGGAGCTGGTGTTGGCTCTTCTCCATCATACGATAATGCGGGCAGCATAGCATTGCACACCGAACAATGCGACGTCGTGCCAAGGACATGCTGGGAGATCCACTCTGCAGTACCCAAATAGGTTGATGCGACCCTTCTTGACATATTCCCAAGGCGTTCTTCAAGTTGAGGCTCGTCGCGCAGACAGGACAATTGGATGTGCTCGCCAAACAGGCACCAGTGTTTGGAGGCATCGAGGCTGCAGTTGACTGTCAGCCAAGGTTGAGCAGTGCTCTGAAGCATTTCTGACTGCTCATAGTATCTATGCAGCTTTGGTTAGACAGTGTTACACATGACCTGAGAGCTTGGGCTCGATGAGCCTTACTTTTGCTCGCGCGACGTCAAGATTGACCCAATGTCCGTGGGTTGGTTGAGCCGCAGGGTCCAACTTACAAGGGCTTGTCCTTCTTCGATTGTTGGTCTGTGTGATCTTTCAGTGCAAGCAAAGTGGTGCACCTCATTGAAACAACTAGTTTGCGGGATGCAATGGTACCAATCCTCATTGGTTCCTCAATCTTTTGACGACGTCCCATTTTTCCACATACACGCAAAAACACATCTCGTTTCCGAACTCTAGGAGTGTCTGGACATGGAGGGAAAACGTCCCGGCGCAACCTGCGACCTCGCTGGTATCTGGAGGCTGAGGTGCTAACCAGAGCTTCTGCGCTTGAGGGAGTGCTACATTCAATCACGACGTTTAGATGTAAGGAAGTAACACTGTCGCTGGTTGTCAGTCGCCGTGTAAAATTGCTGTACAATAAAGTCGCAAGAACCTTGAACGTAGCACATATCTTGATATTCATCCCCCGGCATAAGCCGAACTCAAGGATTGCAGGCAGAAACCGCATTGCGATACTGATACCAAACAAATTACCCGATCGAAACTACCAGTGACAGGGCATTCCGCAACGTAGGGTTGCTTGTTAGCTCAGTCGTAATTTGACCAGCTCTTACATGGCTTTTAGACGTATTTGATCTCCTCGTGGGCAAAGGCTTGATCAGTAATTTCGTCACTCCTGAACCAGCAGCACGCAAGTCAGTGCAATCGAAGAACTCGGTTCTCCAGGTCTAAGTCCAGCCGTCTTACGCGGCGGTAGGCTGAAGCGGTGCCGGTCACATCCGGTCACCGGGCCGGTGCCGCGACTCCACCCAACGCCATTGTCCAATCGGGCCGGACTGCGATCCGGACGGAGCGGTGGGCCGTGTCCTCGCCTTCACTTTCCGACTGACATGATGACATCGCGCGCCCTTGCGAGGTGGAGGCTACTTGCGTGTCGATAGCTTCATGCCCATAGCAGAAGACTGGCCAGTAAATGTTATTTTTTCAAAGTGCAGATAGAGCCGGTCTGTGGAATCCGGCGAAAGTTGGTAAATATAAAAAGAGAGTTGCACTTTGGGGTTCAGCAGTCTATCAATTAAACACCGCCGATCAGGTTTGACCCCGCACAAGTACGCCCAAAAGATTGAATCCTATCAACAATAACAATAATACCAAAATCCATTCCACCATGACCAGCCTCAAAGACTTCCGCGTCCTAACCTTTGACGTCTATGGCACATTGATCGACTGGGAAACAGGCGCCCTAACAGCTCTTCAACCCCTCCTAGACGCGAACAACCGCACCGACTTCACCCGCAAGCACCTCCTGGACACCTACCACGAATGCGAAGCCGCGCAACAGGCCCGAACCCCAGACCTCCCCTACGCCCAGCTCCTCACCACGATCCACCCCCAAATCGCTGCTAAGCTCGGCCTCGCATCCCCGCCCCCGTCCGCCGAAGCCTCAAAGGCATTTGGCGACTCCGTCGGCTCCTGGCCCGCGTTCCCGGACACGGTCGACGCCCTCCGCCGGCTGGGCAAGTACTACAAGCTCGTCGTCCTCTCCAACGTCGACCGGGACTCGTTTGCGCTCAGCAACGCGGGGCCGCTGGCGGGCGTGCCGTTTGATCTTGTTGTCACGGCGCAGGATGTCGGTTCGTATAAGCCCGACCAGCGCAACTTTACGTATATGCTGCGCGAGGTGAAGGAGAGGTTTGGGGTTGAGAAGGAGCAGGTGCTGCAGACGGCGCAGAGTCAGTTCCATGATCACCATCCGGCCAAGGAGGCCGGTATCAAGTCGTCTTGGATTGTGAGGCCTGGGGCGGTGATGGGGAATAGGGATCGCGAGGTGTTTGATTGGAAGTTTGATACGTTGGGGGAGATGGCTGATGCGCTTGAGAAGGAATTGGCTTGAAGCGGGATCTATGTATACATTGTATGACAGGATGTTCTATTTAATGCCATGTTCAAGTGCCGTCCTACGCGAGATGTCCTACGCGAGATGGACTATCTACTACTTGGGTTTTGACATCTTGAAGCGTTGCGCCACTATGAAGTTGCAACAACGTACGCAGGAGGAATAGGCTCCATGAGCTCAATACCTTATCTTACTCCTCAATCTAGCCACAGTCTCTTGATCGTCTCATTAGAATCTATCAAAGTTTGTTATGAAATACATATACAGTGTCTCAACTGCTGCAACAATCATGCTTTTCTTGTGCGAATCACTCCAAAACGATACGAGAAACTTGCACGCCAAAAACCAAAGCAGGATCAAGATAAGATGCGAAAGAGACATGTGGAACAAAGACTAGTCCAATAAATCATAAGTTAGGAAAATGCTTATACTCATCATCTGGAGGTAATTCGTTGCAGGTCCCAGAGCCGAAAGCCGGTCCGGCCGAGACCGGCCCCGCCAAGCCATCGGGTCCACTAGCCTATCTCCCACCGAAGCGGGGGGAACACGGGGGAATCCCAGGAGGGACTAAGAGAAACACCTCCTAGCTAGCAAAACATATCAATGGGATCGCTTAACGCTCAGTCGAAGCCTCTGATATAGTCAGGATAAATCACAATTCAACCTGTAATTTTCCAATAAGTCATAACACTCATAGTCATGACGTCGGACCTGCTTGCCGGCTTCCCGGCAAACGCACCCCCCAAACCCAAGACCAAACTTCGATTCGCAGATGTAAGTTCACGAGCCCCAAAGCCCCCATCACGAAACTACATGCGATTGTTATCTGCCTACATCATGACTTCAAGTTAAATCTCACACACCAACACTAGGTCGCAGTGACAGCAACAGCAAAAGATTTCGCCGGCTTCTACAGGGGAAAACAATACCACCAACCAGACTTTGACGCCGTCCTCGACCGCGCCTCGGCCGCAGGCGTCGACAAGGTGATGCTCACGGGCATGTTCCTCAGCGACGCAGCCAAGAATCTCTCCATTGCCAGATCGCGGCCAGCGGGGACGTGTTTCGTGACGATTGGCATCCATCCGTATCACGCCGCAGAGCCCGATGCTGAAGAAGATGGCGGCGAGGAAGGTCATTTCAAAAAATTAGCGGAGGTCGTCCGCGAAACGTTGAGCTCCACATCGGAAGGCAATCCATCGCCGTTGGCTGCGTTTGGCGAGTTGGGGCTGGACTATGACCGCCTGAACCACGCGTCCAAGGAGGCGCAGATTCGTACTTTTAAGCGGCAGTTGGACCTTTTTGTCGAGGAAAAGCTGGATTTGCCCCTGTTTCTCCATTGTCGCGCTGCGTACGATGACTTCGTGGAGATCATCAAGCTATACCTCCCTAACCTCCCCCGCCGCGGGCTGGTACACTCCTTTGTGGGCGCCTCGGCTCAGATGAGAACCCTGGTGGAGCTCGGCTTCGACGTCAGTGTCAACGGCTTCAGCTTCCAGGACAGGGAAAGCTTAGAGATGGTGCGCGATATTCCGTTGGAGCGCTTACAAATCGAGACGGATGCACCGTGGGGTGAGATACCGGCGGGCTCGGAGGTGGCGAAGAGGTATCTTGGTAACGCGTCGGCTTTGCCGCAGAGCAAGAAGAAGGACAAGTTCGAGTTGGGTCTCATGGTGAAGGGGAGAAATGAGAGTTGTACCATGGACAGGGTGGCTTTTGTCGTGGCGGGGCTCAAGGGGTTGAGTGTGGATGAAGTTGCTGATGCGGCCTGGAGAAACAGTGTCAAGATGTTTGGATTTGGCGAAAGCTAACACAAGATAAAGCGAAAGAAAGATCGAGCCTTTATTGACCACAATATGGTGCGTGATGCCAGTCTTACGGAGCTATCTCGATCGTGAAGGGGGTTCTCCCGTCCGTACTCATCAGAGTGTCTTTTCTACCATGCTAATCCCCTCCTTCTCGAGTAACTTGCGAATGGGGTCACAGATCTCTGAAGTGTAGGGTGCCAACACCCCCGGCACATTCAAAGCAGGTTCCCCGTCCAGTAATAGCTGGGTAGCAATACCGCAGGTAACACCTACGGTCCTGGCCATGGCTGAATGCCCACCAGGTTCTCCGAAGAGCTCCAGTGTCGATGTGATTGTCTCCTATTCACGCGGGTCACCGTCAGATTTTGACTTGATTGGAGAGAGGGGGGGGGGGAGTTGCGGCGTGCATGCTTACTCTACTACCATCCTTCCACTCAACAATGAATCTGTGCTGGAGCATGACCAGATCTCTCTCATCGGGCTGATAGCTCATGAGCCTTTCGAGTTCCGCACACAGTGTGTCTAGGAGATTGCCGCGGAGGGTTGCCGGCTTGTCGGAAAAGAGTCCGATCCATCGCAGGCCGTCAATGATTCTGTTGCTCTCAGTGATGTCCGGAATTTCGCAAATCTCATCAATGCGGGTGGTAAGTGTCCTTTTTGATACATCAGTATTTCAGCCTGAACTAGTAGCATGTTTGCTTGAATGACTTACTCTTCATCAGTCCCGGCAGCACCAACAGCCCGTCCGAAAACCTCCCGCAACATCAAACCATCAGTATCCTTCTCCAGCCATGTCAGTGGCTGCGTGTCCAGCAATCCGAGCTTCGTCAACGCCGCCACGAAAGTCGGGTTCCCTTCATACCGCAGCGACCCGCGCACAATCGTCTCCGCTTCAGGAATTCTATAAAACTCCCGAAAAGGGACGGAGTCCCGATTAGGATATGCGAGAAACGAGTACCCGTCCATCACATGGTACGGCTTGGCCTGCTTCATGAGATCCTCGCGGGAAACCTCAACGACCTGACCATTCTGGAGGTAGGATGCCGGATTGAGCTGGGCAAGTAGCGAGCCTCGGGGAGACCAGGAGAACTTGAAGCGCAGGGGGTTGTCGGAGCACTCTGGGGCTGGGAGGCCACCGGCGTACGAATGGAATTCCTTGATCTGCCGTTTGCATTCGTTAGCTAAGTGAAAAAGGGTAGTGAGTGAACATGTAGTCGGGTTGCTTGTACTTTTCCTCCCTTGCCATGGACTTCATCAATGATACGAATAGCGTAGAGGTGGTCGATTCCTAGGGGTTCATGCATGAGCTTAATGATCTTTAGTGCTGTGAAGAATCATGTCCTACCAGGATCGAGGCCAACTTCATTCAAAACAGTGATCCCGGCAGCCTTAACTTCAGATTCCAGTTCCCTCATCGCCGGAGACACGTAGCTTGTAGTCACGACATGAGTTTTGCCGCGTATGCCTGCTTCGACAACGGTCTGGTGATGAATGAATGGGACAAGCGAGATTACCAGGTCATGAGATGCCACAAGGCTATCGAGGTCTGGAGATGCCACATCCAGAGAAATAGCGCTGGCTCGGGGGTGATTTGAAACCAAACTTTCGGCTGTCGAAAGGGTTCGACAAGCTATTACAAAAAGTATGAGTTACACCTGATGGTTGTCTCCAAAGGAAGTGAAATGGGATACCTATTGTCAACTTGTTCTTCTCACTGCGAAGTAGATATTCGATACATGGCTTGGCCACCAGGCCGCTTCCAAGGACGAGAATCTTTTTTGCGGACATTTCAAAAGCGCAATTCCCAGTTCGTAAAGGAACAAAAGTAGTTGTCGGATCAGATCTTTTCTTTGAAACTAATCTGTTCGAGAATGAGAAGGAGATGAACTGTTAGCATCGCCGGTCTTTTAAGCTTGGCACTTCGGCCACTTTGACATGTATCCGTCATCGCTCTTCACTTGAACTACAATGTTAAACTTGAGTCATCCGGTGAGGGATTTTGATAAGCCTTCTTATCATAAGAAGCTCAAAAATTGTGATATTTGTGTCTTGAAATGCGCAATCTGGATGTTTTGCAACCGGGTCTGTCGGCTTCCAGCAGGTAGATCGCGCAGCCAGTCTCATCGGCCGATCGGCCGACCGGGTTGCTCACAATTATGCGATGCCGCCCGCTATTACACTTCGCGTCGCAAACTTCAGAAGTCACCGAGTGGAAACAGAGCGACTCGGTCGCAGCGAGGGACCTTAAGGTTGACAATCGGACTCCTTGCTGAGTCGATTTGAACTTGGGGCAGCGCCAGTAGCTGGGTTCATCAGGCAACGAAATCGAGCGAATAACCCCATCTCAGATCTTCAGCATCCCGAACTTCTTTCTAAGGGAGTTCCAATCTGACATCACATTCTACTGATCATCGAGGAAGGAAATTGAATATTTGCCAAAAATGGAGGCGTTCGTCTACATCTTGTCATATCTCAATTATTCAGACGTCTTTTGCGATGCGCCATGATCAAGTACGCAAAAGCAAATCCAGTTCATAACTACTGAGTCCTTCAGCAATTCACAATGTCGATGGCGCAGGGAATGCCATGCCCAAGGTTATACGGCGAACCCGACCATAAGATTTCTGGTTTTCGCGTGAGACCTATCCAAGCTCGACTGGTGGCGGTGACCGAGTAACATTTTCGTCTCCGGGTGCCTCTTGCACAGGAGGCGAATGGTATTTGGCGTCCATAGTGACCTTTGGAGAAACGTAGATTTCTCCCTGGTCAGCTCCTTGATCATCAAGGGCGCTTTTCGCCCGGTATCTCCTCCTCGCCAGCAGAATTCCTGCACAAACGGATAGGCCTACTCCCAGAACAGCTCCGATAACGATACCGGCTATGGCACCTGCGCCGAGACCTTCGGTGCCGGAGCCGGACGTCGCAGTAACACTTGCTGCCGTTGCTGAAGAGCTTTCTAATGAAGTTGTGGTTGCCGAATCACTCGTCGGCGAAGGAGTGATGATTGTTGTAGTTGAAGTGGACTCGGATTCACTTCCGTCGGGTAGTGCGATGAAGAATTTTGTAGATTGATCTGAAGAGCCCGTCGCGCCATCAACGAAGAGCCCGAGAAAATAGAAAGTGTCGCTCGGTGGATCGGTCTTCGAAAAGGCATAAAAGTCTACTGTCCAAGTGAAGGACTTGGACAAGATGCCCTCTAACGATATAACGTAGTTAGTCTTCAATGCCCAAAGCCAAGCGATACTAATTCGGACAGAACTAACTTCCTAACGTGATTGATCGGGTGTTCTTGTTTGTCCACAGAAGCAAGTTAAGCTTGTCAGCATCTGTCGTCCAGTTGAAGACGACATTCTGGCCTGATTCGAACGTGGGGCCTTCAAGACCGGCCGGTTTCACGGGGTATGTGAACTTCGTGTTGGTACCATCGGCGGCGAAAGCATTCCGTGCCAAGCTAAGCACGAAAAGGAACGAAAAGATGTTCATTTTGCCGGTGTCCAGGATCCTCGAGCACAATGCCGAAACTCGAGGTAAGGGAGTGAGACGGTAATGAGCGTGGGAGCCTGGTACTTATGGGTTTGGGTCGCTCCTTATGCGCTCTTCCTCGATCTTCGACATCAGGCTGTGACAGAGTATTACATTTGAAGGGGGGGGGGGGGCGGACTATCAGGAAGACGTGCAGTCCTCCCTCCTTCTTTGGGTTTTGCAGTGCCTTGCTGCGGTCCAGATCAGCATCAAGTAGGGACATGCTTTGCAGGTGCGACTTGAAAATTGATTTACTTCAGCGCCCGGCTTTGATACAGTCTCGCTTCACCAACGGGCCACCGCAGTTGGCAGCACACAAGACATGGTCTTGAGTGGCTACACCATTTCAATTTGTCACTGTTCACTTTTATGGATGCTGTGTTGAAGTTTCACTGCAAATGAGACTGTCGTGCCGGTCATACCCATCGAGGAAGGATGGAGATGGCCATGCCATGCCGACTGAGAGTTTGCAGTGGTTGTATTCGTCTCGATAGCCCTTCCCAAGTCAAAAAGTCGATCAGGCTGGCAGTTGGGCGTCTATCGGTTGCAATTCACGTGGGGTTCTTTTGTATGCAAGCGACCCTTTGGGTTCCAAGTGTGGTTGTGTGGCGGAGCCTGAAAAGGAGTCAAGGCAGGTTGATAAAAGTAGAACGGGAAAGGAAGTGGCGCATATTGTGTGCAACATTGAACGAGACCAGGGCATAGATCCTACGGGGAGTAAGTAGATAAGCGCGAATACGGGGGCAAGTAAGAAAGTATTCTAGTAGCACCAATAGCCAAGCTCGAACGAATCAAATTGAATTGATATGCCAGCCTGGCGATAAAAAAGACCTTGCGCCGGAGGTTTCTATGATGCCAATGATAAGCCAGAAAGCAGCATGTACAGTTGTCGAAAGGCGCCTTTAAAGAGATACAAGCAGATCCACCCCACTGCCTCCCCTCCAAGAGATTGAAGCTGGCATAATCTTTTCATTGAATCAGAAATGTTGGGTGCCACACAAAGTTATCTGCGTAAGCTAGAACTAGAGGGTCTCTGAGTTGCCATAAATCAGATATCTTCTCAGTCGATACCGGTCTGAGTGTCCCTCATGGCATGCTTTGACTTCTTGAACTGGGTATTTTGCGAAGAGCTAATACATATTGATAATTGTGTTCGCGCTTCGATACTCTTTACCCAGAGGTCTGCTGACATAGTCCCACTACACAGTATAACAGAGCTTGAAGCTGCAGTCAGCCCCTTCAGCCCGGCAATGGTCTACTTGTGAGTGCTACGCAGACCGCGCGGGCTTGCGAAAAGTGCAGCGATGAGAGCGATTCCGGCAAACGTGGTAGAGGCGGCGAAGGCATACCGGATGCCCTCATAGTAGACATGGCGAGCGGGTAAGCGCACCTCTGCAGGTAGGGTCTTGAGGGCTGTCACGGAATGCCGAATCTCGTCGATGAGCTGAGTTGAGAAGAGCTTTTGTCAGTAACGGGGTCATTTCCACTCATAAAGACCATACTAGTAGTGACAGGAAGGAAACATACTCTCGACTTATCGGGGATGTCGCCGAGGACTTCGGGTAGTCGCACACTGAGCGTTGTCTGCACGATGGCAGAAGTTATCGCCACGCCCCAGACTGTGCCCAAAGAGCGAACGAGATACACCGTAGAAGCTGAAACTGCGTGATCTATGTTAATTGAGGCGGTGTCAGTTCAGTTTGGGTTGGACTCATGCTACAATTGACTGATTAATTCAAGAAGATACTCACCGGCGTGGTCAAACGAGGCCAGCGTCGTGAAGAGAATCGCGGGGTAGATGATACCCTGACCCAAATTCGCTGGAAAGATGTAAACGAGATACTTCCACTGCGAGTCCTGAAATTGGAGGGCAGTGACGAGTGAATTGCCGAACAGCATCAGGAATGCGCCAGCTCGGACGAGCCAGATGAGCTTGCCCCAGCGAGACATGACAATGCCCGCAAATAGACCCCCGAGAGGCGTGGCAAGTGATGGGATCGCCAGTCTCGCGCCAGCTTTAGTCGCCGAGTCAAGCAACACTACCTGGAAGAAGAGCGGAAGCATGAAAAGGTACTATAGTCACAGTCATATTAGCAATCATAAAGCCAACGTTTCGAGCAGTGTATGGCTAGTCCATGTGAGGTCTACGTACCGCATACGCCGCGAGTCCCGCGCAAACATTGGAAATCTGCGTAAAAATGGGCAACTTTCCCCGGAGCATCCTCAGTGGAATGACGGGAATGGCCTTTGTCCGCGCCTCGACGAGCACAAACAACGCCAATAAAAGCACACTACCCACGAGCGTGCCGATGACGATGGGACTACCCCACGGAAGCTCGTTGCCGCCCAAGCTCAGGCCGACGAGCTGCACGGAGATGGCTACAACCAGAAGCAGTGCTCCAGAAACGTCCACCCTTGACCATATGGCCCTCCAGTCGTTGGTGTCAATATCGAACCCGCCCTCGGGGTTCTTGATCACCAGGGCCCCTAGAGTAAGTGCCATGATGGAGACAGGCACCTGCAGCAAGAAGCACCAGCGCCAGCCGATGTGGTCGGCAATGGAGCCACCAAACGAAGCACCAGCCACGGCGCCGAAGCCGAACATGCCGTTCTGGAGGGCCTGGTACATGCCTCTCTCGCGGAAGGGAATCATGTCCGAGTTGACAATCGTGGCTATTTTCTCAATATTAGTCCCCCTTCGACGCAGCATTTTTTTGGGGGCAGATTTGAGAGCAAGTGGACTGGTAAACTCACCCATCGTCATAAGACCACCGCCTCCAAACCCAGTCAGAGCGCGCATGCAGTTGAGAAGCACCACGTCGCCCGCCAGCCCGCAACCAAGACAGCCAAGCCCGAACGAGATACTACTAACAAAGAAACACACCCTCCGCCCGAAAATGTCAGAAAACCGCCCGTACAGCGGCTGGAACGCGGTGCTGGTGACGAGGTACGACGTCGTCAGCCAGCTCGCCGTGTTCGCGGCGTCAAACTCGGAGCTGATGACGGCGTACGTCGCCGCCGTGATGGTCCCATCAAACCCGTAGAGGAAGACGTTGGCCATAATAGCCAGCTCGATCCAGAGGAACCCTCGTGGCGGCTTCCATGACTCGCCGGCCTCGATGGCGGCGGCTGGGTCGCGGAGGAGCGGTTGGTCTTCGCGAGGCGTGGCCACGGTGGCGGTGGTGGTTTCTGAGTCCGGGTCGGAGTAGTACGGGGGCGGCGGTGATGCCGGGTTCGGAGGGTTGGCTCGTGCTCTGCCGACTTCATCGTCTGAGAAGCGGGGCCGGGAGCGCGGGCTGCTCATGGTGTGTGCCGGTTGGTTGACTTGAATGGAACTCTGTTGGGAAGGTTTGTTGGAAATGCTGCTTTACTTGATTTGGAGAGTAGCCGGGATTGGATGGAATGCTTCCAGGAACATGAAACAATGTGATTGACTGTGGGGGGGATCGGTCGCTGGCAGGATCGGGAAATCTCAAGCAAAGAGCAATGAGAGAAAGTTCAGAAAGCAGCAAACCCGCCGTGACCTTTCTTGCAACCCCAAGTGTACTTCAATTGCTAAGTCCAGTCTGCAGTGCCAGGGTATGTTGGGATGACGGCAAGCGTGAATTCGCCATGGAGAAATTTCTGCAGTTTCATGACTCCCCGCCGATGGAGAACCGGCGTGCAAGGTCCGGATAATGTCCGTCGCGCGGATCCTGTCAGTGGGGGGCTACCGGGTGCCGGATCGGATCGACCAACGTCAACGAGATTCCTACCCTGGAGTCGGTAGTGGATGAATGTATTGCACCATTGACACGCAAAGCACGCAATCATGTATGGAGCTTGACATTCTTCATGAGCTCTTGGTTCCATTTACATGCCTAATGCCATTCAACGGTACTAAGAAAAAGCCGACTGTCTCCACTGACGAAGAGCCGTAGCCGGCCCCGAACGATCAGAGACGTCCATCAGGGCAACATCTCTGACTGGTCTCTCGGAGGTTTCTAAGCTACCTACCTAGGTAAGAGCTACAGCCACCTATAGAGACATTGATCCAAAAGCTGTCTTTGGCCCTAACGGACTGCCTTGGTAAGTCATCACGGCTATCAGGCCAAATGAAACAGGCAGGCTTCACATGGCTTGTTAAATGATCCATACCAAACACAGCATCTGGCAAAAGTCTCCTCACCTCAAGGACTGTGCATGAAACTTCGCGACACTTACCAACAGACGGCACTGGGAACCCAAACAGTTCACCACCCCTGGATGATAGCAGCCTCTTGGAGCAGTCGTAACCCTAAATCCAAGAAAGAACCACGGAAAGAGGCACATGGTCTATCACAGCCTTCCGAAGAGGCCCTTTGCCCCCAGAGAAGGTTGGTCCTCCCACCATGAGATTCCATACTCCGGGACCAACACGTAGGGAAGTGAAGAAGTTGCGTTTGTTGACAGGCCAGAGAAATCTCAGTACTGCAACAGCTCGGGTATTCGTCATGAAGTACGAACCATGCAGTATACAACGTTAGCTTACAATCAGGGTCCGAGGAACTTCTCTCGTAGCACCGCGGGAAGATACTTCTCGAATAAATATCCACGCAGAGCCATTTTGCCACATCAAAGCCAGACCCGTGCTGGTTCTGACCACAACAGCTGAGACTTTTTCAGCGGAATATCCGTTGATGAATTTCCCAGGTTTTCTCACCGCGGATAAACATCCTCAAAACCTGCCCACGAAGTCCGTGTGGTTGAGATGCTCGTCCCATCAGCCCCACCGAGGCTTGACATATGCCTCACATTAGTTAGACATGTTGGAAAGCGACCCAAGCTAGGGAGTTTATTAATTTATTTTTCTAAGAAAAAAAAAAAAAAAAAACTAAAAAAAAACTAGGCTCTTGAAAGTATGATTTCAGACACCAGCTGACTAGACAACTCAAGGCCGATGGCTTCTAGACGGAACTTTCGGATTTGATGAAAATTGCCATGGTATTGAAAGCTGGCTCAGCGTTTAGTCCTGAGAGCCTCAGAGCCAGAAAAAGTGGAACGTGCGCCAGACTGTCGGAAATCTCGCTTACATAACACTGACCCACGTCACCTGATAAATAAAATCGCAGCCGCCGCAGAATTTTTCAAGATAGCTTCCCTCTCGTCCAACACCAAGAAAACCAACATATGCCGACACCTCTGGAGGATCAGACGCGCGAGCAGAGGAATTATCCAACGAACCAACACGAAAGTCTTAGTCTGGCTACTTGTGGCTTTAAAGGTTGAAAACAATCTGTAGGCGCCGTCTGATCCTCTAGCACCACTGAAGGTATGTAATGTTTTTTTCTTCATGCACACTGTTCCCCATCGTCTTAAAGATGATTTGGATTAATCTCCATTTGTATTTGATATCTTATTAAATGATTTTTATTCACACTGAAAATTCTGAAACGACATTACTTGTTACCTTTTTGTTTGCTCAGTCCTGGACGTATACAGTCGGCTAACAAGACGGTCAGGTTTGCCTGCAATCTACATTTCCAGTTGAGGCCCTGAGTGTTGGATTGGCTGGATTTTTTGATACCATGGTTATAGTTGATTATCATGCCAATACATCTTTTTCATCAAATCGATTCTGTTCCACGCGTTGTGACCTAGTTCGATGCTCGTAGCAAAAGGCCCCATTAACCTTGAATACGTGAATCGTGCTTGGCAGAGTTCCAGTCAACTGCTGCCCGGGACGTCGGTGATCCCCGGGAGGCGCGGCGATGCAGGCCGTGGAGCCCCATCTCTGATGGAATGCCTCCGGGCCAATGGTGAACCTGCTACGACGACAAGCCGCGACAGGACGCGGGCAGGCGGGCACTCGCGCGGCTCTGCGCCTCCAGCAAGCTCCATCCTCCGGGCCTTGGGAGGCTTGGGAGGCCTCGGGATCTCTGGAAACTCCGTACTTCATAGGGACAAAGACGGCGAGCGAGCAGTTCGTTGCCGCACGCGTGGGCGGTGCAGATGAGCCACTGAGAGGAGGGGGGTTTTCCTGCAGGTCATGGTCGAGTGCCGGTTTAGCCTGGTTGGAAGGGACCAATGTCGATGAGGTTTCCCGATGGCACACTGGCCTTGGAAGAACACTCTTAATGCAGCAAATTAAGGCAGCATTCCCTGGAAGCAGATCCGGGGGAAACTAATCGGTTTCCCTTCCAGAGTCCCAGCAGTGTTCGCAGAGTCAAAGAAAGTTGGAACTTGGCAGTGGGCGCCATGTCGTGGCAGATAAGCAGGGCCCATCCCAACACGCCGATTTCTTTCTCCCGCGAAACAATTAATCAAATGATGACAGAGTTGGCGATGGAGTTTTGGGCTCTCTGGTGACTTGTAAGGTAGCGACTAGAAAGTGTCTTGGGCAACCTCGTCTCGATCGACCACGAGGCCAGACCAGGGCCAATGTGGGGGCATTTCTCGCTGGGAGTGTTTCTTCGCGCTTCCCGAGAGACTCCAGCCTCCAGAATATGGCCTAGCAGCACATAGTGCAGGGGAACGATGGGATTGGGCGCAACTGTAATTGCCTACCTGTGCCATGACGACACCAGGCTGCGATGATGCGGGGCAGAAGCTTCCAGGGTTCAAACGGTGAGTGATGGACGCGATGCATCTTTGAAGTCTTGCGCCACGGACGCCGTCTGATCTGTCAAGAATGTCAAGAATGCTAGCTTGGCCTCTCCCGAGGGTTAAACAATACCTTAACACATACCTAGCCTCCGCGTGGATGGTTGCGTGATGACTCGTTTGTCCGTTTCCGCGCCTGCTGCGCAAACCCGGCTCAAACCGCCTCAGGGGCTGCGCGCGCTTTCTCGCACCTCTTCACCTTCTCCTGAACTGTCCTCCTCTTGAAATGTGTCCGCGGGGTATCTTTGTCTTCTTGAAAGCTGACCAGCTGTCTCGGGTGACAAGGATGAGGGGCGGATGACAAGGCCGCCCGGGGATGTCACGGCCTGTCATTGTACTGAGCCACCCACCCTCCTAGCTTCGGATGGCGTGCCGCACCAAATCTGCCTGGTCACAAGGCTGCCTTGCGCCGTGATCCCTAGATTTCTTGGTACTCTTATGTTTTTGTTGAGGAGGAGCGATGTTCTCACTGATGTTGGAAGAACTTGTCGCTCCGTGTCTCGCTCGTAGTTAGTAGACTGGCGACTGACGAGTTCCTGATGCTTTTTTTTTTTTTTTTTTTTCGTGGGGTTAGCTTCCGGGTCGCAGTGGCCAGTGTAAATGACGTAAGAGCGTTGATAGACATCGCTAGCCCCTCGGCAAGCTTTCGATAGTAGGTAGGCCTGGAGCGAGCATATCGTAGTTCCGAGTCGCAGACTGTCGAGATGTATAGGTAAGGTAGGCTGCCTGGAAATGGATAGGTACTATCAAAAAATTAGAAAAAGGCACTTCATTGGGGTTAGATGTACCTTAGGTACTTGCCTCCCATCCTTTGTGCCCTGGTCGAGTCCAAACGCTCTGGAGACTGGATGGATATACATAGTAGTAAGTAGCGTGGGCGGTCGAGGGTCAGAATGTGATGGTGACATGGGACACCCTTCGACAATCCGTGGCTCGCTGCACATTAGTACTGCAATAGCAGTTCCTTTCCGTCCGCTGACCTTGGCCGGGCCGCCTAGAGTCTTCGCAAGTCGTGGCCTGGGCGGCGGGCACTGACAAGACCGGGCCCAGAAACGAGGTCTGGCTGATCCCGTCCCATCCCTCAATGTTTGGCGCCCTGGTCGGGATGGAAGGGAAAGCCTCAGGGGGATGCCTCAGAATGATCATCGAGGTCCGAAGAAGCGGGCTGCCATGGTATAGTAGAAGAGAGGTACTCCGTAGACTAGGATGTGTAGGAAGGTAAGGTAAGATTGGGAGGCATGGACATTATTACCTGCCCACCTGTCGCCCTGCCCTGATTTTGCTGTTTCTGCTTTGGCAACAGCGCTGTGTGATCCTGCCCGCTACGCAGCATTGCACTTTCCCATCTCAGCCCAACACCAACTGGACGGCCCACGGGTGACGGACGGGTCGACAGGCTGCCCCTCCATCTCTTCGCTTCCACGGTCCCTTGCCGTCCCTCCACCTCCCCTCCATTCTTTCCCCCCTCTCTCCCGTCTTCTCTCGCTCCGAACGCTCTCTCCACTCACTCACCTTTCTCTGTCCTTCTCCCGGGCACTTCCCTCTCACATCACCCACCCTTATTACGTTGGCTGGGCTGGAATCGACTGGACATTCGTCTATTGGTGTGTTCAATAGACAGATTCCCATCCTCTCACCCAACCAAAGGCGATCACAGTCCCACCAGCCTCCTAAATAAAACCAATCTACCACGTACACCCGTAAACCGAACTAGTCACTACCTGACTACACATGCGCACCATTTAATCCGTGGGCTCCCCTCCGTCATCATCGCACATCCTTTGTTCAACCCCCCGCCTGCCAATCTACACCATCCAGCCGAACCGTTGTCGCCCGTTTTGACATTTCTCTGCCGCTTCCCGAAAACAGCGTTGCCCTTCGACGCCCCCATCGCATTTAGCGATGGCTGGAGTTTATAGAGAAACCACTCGGGTTTACCGGGACCCGACTGACTACTCATCTGATGAAGACCGATACAAGACCTCCACAGTTCGCCGTTACAAAGTAGCGCCAAACCGAGTCGAGAGGGTCGAGCGCACTGAGCGTGTCGAAGTCGAAGAGGACGACCGCCGGTCACGATACTCGGGCTACCCGCTGCGCACCTCCGGCGAGTATGGCTATGCTCCCGACCGCCCGCGCTCCGCCTTTGACTCCCGGAGTCAGGTTGTTGAGCGCACGGTAACCGAGCGTGAGCGCGAAGTTATTGACCCCTACAGAGGTGACACCCGCAGCGTCGTCTACGAAAAAGAGTACGAACGTGAACGTGAGCGCGCACCCCGCTTCGATGCCGGCCGCTTCGACGATGTTCGCAGCGTCGCCGATAATCGAAGTGTTATCGAAGTCGAGCGCGAGCGCGTTGACTGGGACCGCCGCTCTAACAAGTCTCATCGCCACCACCACCATCATCATTCACCCGAGACAGAAGTCAGAGTCGACAAGCGTGTCGAACGCCGTGAGGATGGAGACGTCACAGTCGAGAAGCGCGTTGAGGAATACCGGGACGATCATGGCGGGGCAGAGGTCGAGAGATACCGCAAGGAGACCGAGTTCTACTCTCCCGTCAGCCCCCCACCTATCCCCCAACCCGTCATCATTCGTCAGCAAGCCCCGGAGCCCCAGAAGATTATTGTTCAGGAAGCTGCACCACCCGCGCCCATCATCGTACCCCGTCAGGAACCCGGCATCGTCGTCCTGAGAGAGCGCGAGTCCCCTCGCGAGGTTGTCCGTCGCGATCCCCGCGAAGATGAGTACTACTACCGCCGTGAGACAAAGGAGCTTGGCCCGTATCGCCGAGATGAGCGTGAGTACCACTACGACCGACGAGGCCGTGGTCGCGGCGAATACATCAGTGACGACGAGGATTACTACATGAAGCGGACTGTCATTCGCCGAAACCGAAGCTCCAGCTCAGACCATCATCACAAACGCCATCTTGCAGAGGGAGCCCTCGCTGGCGCCGGTATCGCTGCTCTCGCTGCGAGTCGAAGAGACAGCCGCGGTGAGCTTGGTGCCAACCGTGGAAGCAAAGTCCTTGCTGGTGCTGCTATCGGTGGCCTAGGCACTGAAATCATTCGACGGGCTCGTAGCGCGTATGAAGACACCTATCACGACGATCATCACTACGGGTCTCGCTCGAGATCTCGCAGTCGCAGCTCCCGCATCAAGACCGGTCTGGGAATTGCTGCCGCCGCGCTCGCTGTTGCAGGCGCCGCAAAGTATTACCAGAGTGGAAAGATCGAAAAGGAAGAAATGCATCGTGGTCGAAGCCGCGGCAGAGGCTACTCTGTTTCAAGCTACTCTGTATCTAGATCTCGTAGCCGCAGCCGCAAGAGCCGGAAGAGCCGCAGTCGCTCCGTGGCTAAGGCTGCCGCTGCAACGGCTGCCGCCGCGGGTTTGGTCCAGCACTTCCGCAACAAGTCCAAGTCCAAATCTAGGAGTAGGTCGCGGTCTAAGTCTCGCATCAGGACTGGAGCAGAGATTGCCGCCGCTGGTCTGGCAGGCGGAGTTGCTAGCAAGATCTATAAGAACCGCAAAGAGAAGAAGGACCGCGAGGTAGATCGAGAACTGGAAGAGCAGGACTACGAGGAGGAAGTCCGGCGGGAACGGCGTGAACGTCGTCGGTCGCGCAGCAGGTCCCAGGCCCGCTCTCTATATTCCGAGCCGCGCAGCGCTGATCCTGAGCTAGGCTTAGTTGAGTACGGAACAGAACCGCTGCCGACCGACCCGCCTTACCCGCCGGACGACGGGTATGAGTCTGCAGCGAACGAGAGGCGACACCGTCGACACCGGCGTATGTCTGGCGATGATTACGACGGCCACGAGCCGGCGAAGAAGAGGAGCAAGAGCCGATTGAGAGACATGGCGGCGGCTGCAGTTGGAACGGGAGCCGCTGCGATTGGACTGAAGCAGTATCAAAAGAAGAAGGAGAAAGAGGAGGAGGAAAGACGAGAGGAGAGGCGAGAAGACAGACGGTCGAGGGAGAGAAGCGCCCGATCCCGCTCTAGAGACAGATCCGTCACACGCGAAAGGACTTACTCAAGAGAACGCGCCTACAGCAGGGAACGCAGCACAGACGACAGGATGAGGAACAGGGAAAGAGAGAGAGACCGCAGGAGTAAGGAGTCCCAAATCGAGCACACGCTAGTAACCCAGTTGAACTGACAACCATCACAGGATATGAAGAGGATGCTCGGGATGACGGGTACTACGACAACTACAGCCGTCCTCCCTCACCTCCACACGCCTCTGGCGGCTCATTCTACCCGCCACCACCAGCAGCTGCCGCGGGCTTCACCCAGCATCCCAACATCTCCACGGCCAACCTAAGAGATCAGTATCCGCCGTACCCGTCCTCGGACTCGGTGTACCCTCCGGGACCACCGCCAATGGGGCCATCTCCACCGATGGCCACAGGCGGGGCCGGCGGCTATCCTCCCCCTCCGCCTGCTGGTGGTCATCCACCTCCAGGCGGTGGCCCGCCAGGAACGAGATTTGGTCCTGACCATGTGAGTGAAGACATATCTCGTAGCTCCTCACCACAAGCTGTCCAGCCAGCCGGTCTGGGTCGTGAGGGTGGGTTGATCTAATCGTTGTTTCTTTTGTGATATTTCTTCGTTCGTGTCTACATCGGAAGCTGACCTTCAACGCAGATGGTTTAAAGTGGCGAGAGCGTGTCAAAAAGTTTCTCCCCGAGTCACTGTCTAGGTCTCGTTCCCAGTCCCAACCGCGATCTCGGTCTCGGTCCTTATCTCCTGCGTCTTCATCGGTGTCGAGCGCTTTATCCGCAAAGCGTCCTCATACGGCACAACATTCTTCCTCCAAGTCTGTTGCCTTTACTCTGTCACCCCAATCATCCCAAACCTTGCGGCTGCACCGCTCAGCCCATGAGCAGCAGGCCGAGGAAGAGGCTAGGAAAGAGGAAGAAGTACCGGCCCTCAGCGAAGAGCAACTGGCGACACTGCGGCCTGTCCTCAACCGTAGACGTTCCTCCTCGGATCCACCTAGTAGTAAATCGGTCTCCCGTCGCCGCAAGAGGGAAATCGAAACACCACCAGAATCGGAAGACGAGGTTGAGGTCCTGCCCGACCGCTTCGATACTCAGGGACGACCCGTTGGTGGTGGTGGCACTTCGGGGGCCATGCGATGGAGACAAGGGGCGTTCGAAAGCCGGCCACGAAACGGCAAAGGATTGCATTCAAGCGGGGCATGGGCTGTGGGTGGTACAGATGGCGATGTTGTGCAGAAGATTGCGAGCGACATTGAAGGCATGATCAGCGGGCAAAGCAGCTGGAAGAGTCTGCTGAAGGATGTGGTGGGAGCGGTTCAGGAAGTGCAACATGGCGGCGACTCGCGTAGGATAGAGAACAGTGACGACGATGATTATGACGACCGACGAAGGAGGCGGAGGAAGAGCAGATGACGATTTATGACCATTTCTTTGGATCTCTTATATGAATCTTGCGACGCCATGACTCGGCGCTTTTACATTCTACATTCTTAGGACCTAGACACGACATGATGTTACAGATAACGAATTTATGACGCTGGTTTGAGACACTTTTGGTAGATATCAATACATGAGCAGAGTTTAATGATTGCGCTTGGTTGACCGAGAACGCATTTAGAGGTATAAAATTTCAGACAAAAGAGCACGTATTATGTACTTTGATTGGGCCTTTCTATTTCTAGTATCACACAGTTCATCTACGGGGCATCATCTTCTCTCTCCTTGTTTTTCTTTCATCATAATTCGTCGTGCACCGGAGGCTTCTCTGGCCGTCCGCTATCCTTATGCAAGTCGACGCCGACCTTGCCCCGCCACTTTTGGAAGACGCTCCAAAACTCCTTTTCCATGCCGCTCTCCATCTGATCGGGCAGCACGACAACGTAGTCGACGTACAGGTTGCCAAACTCCGTCTTGTGGTACACGCTGTCGCCGTCCTCGTGGAAAATCGGCATGCCCTCGCCCTTGACCGTCTCGACGTGGCCCGGCTGCACGACGCCGCCCCGGTCGCGCGAGAGCCGCACGACGTGGCCGTCGAGGTGCGTCACGTTGCGCGTCCAGTCGCCCATCCACGCCTCGCGCAGCGAGAGCACCTCGGTCCAGTAGAGGTCGTTGTCCTTGCGGCGGAAAAAGGTGCCGTCGA